AAAATACAAAAAAATATATAATGACAGTGGCAAGTTCAAAGTGTCACATTTACTTTGTCGCACACTGTGCGGCAAAGTCCGTGCGTAAAAGTAAAGTAATTGAACGCTAAAGAAAAGTGCTTCTTTTCGATCATCGCTTTTGTTCGCAAAATGGCACTTTTTGATTAATTCGAATAAGAATGCTCTTTCTCCACTGCAATCGCTTCTTCTATTCTAGAAATTCTAGTTTTAACGGCACGCAAACATTCAGGGTTAGACATTGGTGAAGGAAACACTAAAGCAAAGCCGTTGGTTAGTGGACTGAACAACACAAAAACCTCTCTGTACTACCTCTGGCCACGTCAGGAGGCAACTCCTGAGGTTGATTTTCACGGATTATTAATTCGGTCTTGCGAGGCTTGGCTGCGAACAACAATAAAGGTCGTGAACGGTTTTCTCGGGTGAGGCGGTAAATAGGAGGAAAAATAAATCAACTCACGTGAAGAATCCTCTTCGACGGCTTTTGGAGCGAACAGCGCCTTGAAGTGCGGCTTGCAGTACAACGAGCCGTCGTTGCTTTCGTAGGTGTCGACCCTGCAAAAAGGCTAGTTAATTAGCTGAAAAGCGAAAATTGCATCGGGAAGTTCTGCTTACGTTAGCTGCTTGCTGCACTCGCTGCATCTGAAGCAGTTCTTGTGCCAGACCGCTTTTTCCGCCTTGATCTGCTCCATTTGGAAGACTTGTTTGCTGCACGATTTGCAATTGGTGGACACCTCGATTTGGGCTCCCTAAAAAGACCAGCGATGTTTATCAATTGCTTACAATGCATTGCGTTTTCAGTTGCTTACATTGCTGAATTTTTCCTGGGCCTTGGTCGAATCGGAAGAGCGGACATGAAGAACGTTCTTCTTCTGCAGCGCGTCAAACTTTGTGAAGCACGATTTCTACAAGCGACAAAAAAAAGGTATTTAGACTTGATTTCCCAGTTGGAACTGAAGCTGAGCAGCTTTCTGAGACCCAATAACGAATAAGCCCGTCCTGAACCAAGAAAAACAAATATTGTTTCACCCGCATACTTAAACTCTACTGCACTTACCCGTTGGTGGTTTTTGGGCCGGCAACTACTAGCGTTAGTTCCAGCGTTGTTAAACCTTTCTTTCTACATAATTGGCGGACATGCAAAAAAACGGAACCATGCAAAAAATCTAAGCTAAATTACTAGTTTACTCAGCAAAACTATCTGCTACGCACATATCGAGCAACATTTCCTATTGAAGGTTTGATCAGCGCAAAAGAAATTGCATCAATAAGAAACAGTGTTCGATATTTTCCCAATTGTATTCCGGCAAATCCTTACCAAAGCCTGGACTGAAACTCCAGTAAACACGTTTTCGACGGAAATATTGTTAGATGGATTAGCCATGTCTGTCAGTGATTTAGTACGCTACAAAAATTAAAAAACTAGCAAAATATCAAACTGATGGCAAGTAAGTAGGTAGGCTGTTTTACATGCTCTCGGCTATAAATGTTAAAAGTTGTAAGAATCTTACCGTTCGAATGCCAACTTTTCTATTTATTCTATCCTTGCCTAATTTGGTTAAATCGCCAAACGATCTACACTAATGAAACAGAAACGAACAATTATTAATGAAACTTGGCAGCCATGCAGGGTAAATGCAACAATCCACAGTCACGTACAGGCTGATTCACCACTACACATAAACTGTCCTTTAAATGGGACCAAAAGTGAACCATCCTGTACGAACGCCAGAATTTTCTTAGCTTTATTGGGGAGACTCAACAAACTCACTTTGAAACGTCCCTCGTATGTAGCACCCGCGCAAAATTGCCCTGGTTTTGGAAGAGTACATTTAAGTTCAACACTTAATACAG